AAATCACGGAAGGTAGATTCTGAAGACCAGTCGGCTGCTTTTAGGATGTCTTCCAGGCGACAACCCATCGAAGAGGCTTTGGAAGCCATTGCTCCTCGTATGGAGTGTGGTGAAAATATGGAGGTGTCTATGCCTGCCGTAGCCATGATCCATTTGACCCAGCGAGCCAGGGTCGTGGTAGACACTGGTAGATGTGGTCTCTGGAAGGAGATGAAGAGTTCATGTTTAGATGGGTCCCGTAATGTCCTGGTGCGAAGTTCATAGGTTTGTAGGCATTTAACCGGACACAAGAGAGGTTTGTCAGGAAAAGCTGGATATGTCACTCTCTTTGTTGTGCTTTTTGTTCTCCGTGATATATCGAAAGTGACCCCTTCCGGAGTGTAGGAACGTGCGGTGACGTCTAAGGCTCTAACGTCCGAGACCCGTTTGCAGGATATGAGACATAGGAGCATGACCAGTTTCGCCGACAGTTGTTTCAGAGACAGTGTTGCGTTATCTGGCCAAGATTCGAGGAAGTGGAGGATGATGGAGACGTCCCACAGTACGGAATAGCGTGGTAGCGGAGGTCTTGCGAATCTAATGCCGCGTAGGACTCGGCATATCAGTGGATGGCGTCCTATCGGTGCGCTATCGATGCCTTGGTGTGCGGTAGAAATGGCCGATCTGTAGAGGTTTACCGTGCGATATGCTTTGCCGCTTTCAAATAAGGATGTTAGAAATTGCAGGATCGAAGTCAGAGGAGCCGATATGGGATCCAAGTTCCGTTCCATGCACCAATCGTGCCATTTGCGCCAAGCAGATTTATAAGCTTGTCTCGTGCCGGGTGCCCATGCGCTCTCGAGAAGTTGGAGAGTCGATTCCGAAATTCCTTCGATTGAGTAGGGCTCCTGGAAATCAGCCACGCTGTGAGGTGTAGTAACTCTTGTTGAATCAGGGGATGGGGGGACCCGTCCGGTTCTCGAAGTAGGTAGTCGAAGTGTGGGAGAGTGCGGGGTATGTCTATCGCCATCTCCAACAGGGAAGGGAACCATGGTTGTGACGGCCATAATGGCGCCACGAGCACTGCCGTTCCCGTCTGTCGCCGTAGTTGTAGTAGGCAGTGGGGAATCAATGCAAAGGGAGGAAACGCGTAGTTCCTTTCGGAGGACCAGTCTTGGGTAAAGGCATCTGTTGCCAATGCTGCCGGGTCCGGTTTCCAACTGAAAAATCTGGGAAGTTGATTGTTCAAACGGGAGGCGAACAAGTCCATGTCCAGAGGACCCCATAGAGACTGGATGTCTTGGAAGTTCCCTGGGTTCCAGGTGCCAGTCGCTGGAATCTCTGAGGTGCCTTGAGTACCAATCCGCCGTGGTATTGCAGAGGCCCGGAATGTATTCCGCTGTGACTGAAATGCCGTGTGCCAGGCAAAACTGCCAAAAGTCTCGTGCCAAATTCGCCAGGACCTTCGATTTCGTGCCGCCCAAGTGATTTATATAACGGACTGCCGATACATTGTCCATCCTTAAAAGGATGGCACATCGGGCTTGAGTCGGTGAAAAACTGCGGATTGCAAAAGAACCGGCTAGGAGTTCTAGGCAATTGATGTGAAGCGTCGATTCCACTTCGGACCATCTGCCACTGGTAGAGACATTGCCACAGCGTGCGCCCCAACCGTGCAAGCTCGCATCGGATTCTATTATTATATCTGGTTCGGTACCGAAAATGGCCCGGCCATTCCAGGCGTCCATATGGGAGAGCCACCATCTGAGTTCTGTTTTTGCTTCTATGTCCAGAGCGATCATGTCCGTGTATGAGGTCCCGTCTCTCAAATGGGAGGCTTGCAGGCGCTGTAGCGCTCGATAGTGTAGAGGGCCCGGGAAGATGGCCTGTATGGAGGCCGCCAAGAGGCCGATCACTCTCACCAATTGTTTTAGGGAGATCAGGGGGGTCGTCAGAGTGCGTTTGATCTCCTTCTTTATGGTGGTCAATTTCGCCGCCGGTAAGTGTAGGGTCTGTAGAGTAGAGTCCACTACGAGGCCCAAAAACTCTATGTGCCGTGTAGGGGTCAGTATGGATTTTTTCCAATTGATAAGGAAACCCAAATTTTGCAAAAGATTCTGAGTCCATGACAGATGGGTCTCGAGAATGTGGTTGGAACGACCCATGATGAGGATGTCGTCCAAGTAGATTATGAGACGAACCCCTCGACTTCGAAGTAGAGCCACCACGGGCTTCATGAGTTTGGTGAAGCACCATGGGGCTGAGGACAGTCCGAATGGGAGGCAGGTGAATCTCCATTTCCTTCCTTGCCATATGAATTGCAGGAAGTCTTGGTGCTGACGTGCGATTGGTATCGTGAGATAGGCGTCCTGCAGGTCCAACTTGACCATCCAGTCCAACGGCTGGAGGAGATCCCGGAGGCAGTGTATGCCCTCCATTTTGAAATGGTTGTAGGCAATAAAAGTGTTGAGTTGCTTCAAGTTGATCACTGGGCGGACGCCGCCACCTTTTTTGGCAACTAAGAATAGGTTGCTTACGTACCCTGGGGTAGTCATAGGGATCTCTAAGATGGCCCGTTTGTGTGCCAATTCCAAAACCTCCTTGGTTACAAGGGAGGCGTCTTGGTGGGAAAACAGCATTCCCCGTGGTGGGGAGAGTTGTACCGGGAGGGATATGAACTCTAAGGTGTACCCTCTTACCGTGTTCAATACCCAGGCATTTGATGAGATGTGTGACCATGCATGGGAAAAATGTCAGAGTCTGCCCCCCACTGCCCATAGGGAAGAAGGAAATAGGAGAGCACTTACCATAAGGTCGTCTGCCTGGGCGGGAGCCACGTGGTCCATGAGCAACCCATGGTCGCCCACGTTGTGGGAAGAAGACCGGGGTGTTGCGGTGCTCCGTGAAGGAGGCGTGTCCAGTGTAGGAGCCTCGGCTCTGTCGGAATGAACCCCTATTGACATGGCCGGACAGACGGCTCCTGGCTCTTCCGGCCCCACCAAAAACCTTAGGTTGGAAAATCTTGCGCATGTTCGATTGCGCCTTGTCCAGGGCAGTGAAAGTATGGTCAAAGGAGCCCAGCTCCTTGACAAAATTGTCTCCGAACAGGAGACCACGGGCCTGGGTGCCCAGTTCGGTTATAGCCATGTTCACCAGTTTGGGTTCTATCTTTAATAAGATCGCTTTGCGACGCTCTGTGGCCACCGCACAGTTGGCATTGCCAATCAGACAAATCACCCTTTGTATCCAACCACTTATGGCGGAACGATCTAACTCTTGGTTGCTTTCGACCATATCAAAAATTTTTGTTGCCGGGCCCAATATATCTAATATCTTGTTCTGGCAATTGCGCAGGGAGAAATCAAGGCCCTTATTAGGCTTCCAGCCAGTCTTGCCCAAGAATTGAATGATTTTTGGGTCAACTGCAGGTGTTCTGCAGGCCTCGTCAGGGACAGTGGGACGTGGGCATTCTGCCCGCAGCTTGTTACGTGTTACCTTATTTAAAGGTTTGCGAGTCCGCGATGCAACGTATTTGGCCACATGGGCCGAAGGGGACCAGTCCACTGACCTTGGATGACGCAGGTCATCGGGGTCGAACAGAGGTTCCCCGTAGGGGTCAACTAATCTGGTTGCATCGTCTGGGACCTTAAGCTCCATGTCATACGATTCAGATGGAGGCATAATATGTTCTCTGGGGTCATGGTCGTCGACCACACCATCTGACTCGGGATCTGATGGATCCTCCGAATCCATATCGGTCTCCTCTTCAATCTCGCTGAGATCTGACTCAGATTCTAGTTGGGCTTTTGCCCGTTTCCATAACCTAGCCGATTTTGCCCAGCTAGTGGCTCTTTTGCGCTGTGGTATATTAGACGCGCCATCTGTGACAGGTATGTAGCTGTCCATCTGTGAGATTGAAGAGTGTTTTGTTTTTGCAGTGGCCTTATGGCCAGTGTGAGTTTGTGAAGGGGTTATTGCAGGTAAAGCCTGGGTAGTGATCGGCTGGGTCGATTTTTGTGCCCCAAGTAGAGCATGTGTAATAGTCTGTGAGATAGATTCAGACATCAGCCCCATGGCTGATGTGAGGGTCTTAGTCACAACATGGGACATGGTGTTGTCAATCATGTACTGCATATCAGCAGTAGGATCAAAATCAGCGGGGATAGTCGCCCCAATCTCAGGTACCCCTGTGGGTGTTTTAACAGACCCTAAATTGGTAATAAGAGACCCAGGAGGGGAGGGTATATCTTTGTCCCCAGGCATATTGTGTGTATAACACTGGCACCACAAATAATTGTACTGAGCTGATCTAAAATGGGTTGATTAACCCAAAGAGAAAGGGGGTAATATACCTTTATGAGAAAAACAAAGTACTCACAAAAAACAATTACAGTCACAAGAGAAAGGGTGAGGAGGGGGCAAGGAGCCGTCCGATCGCCACTGTAGCTTTAACCCAACTGCGAGGTCCGGTAGTTGGGGGTGGAGCTACTTGCCGTGCGTGGGAAACCAGTAAAATGGCCGCCGCGAGCGGTACTGGAGAGAAGAAATTGGTAAGCTCTGCTCGCGGCGAATGTGTAACGCTCAGCGCGAGTACACATGCACGCGCCGCGAGCAGGGAGCCGGCATCCGAGCTCAGTGAGCTCTACAGGTGGCGACCGGTCACGGCGGGGAAGAAGAAAGGGGGGGGGGGCGCAAAGCGCCGGATGGGGGGCCCTGGAGCGTGGGGGGGCCTTAAAGGGGCGCAGAGGCCATGAAAACTCAAGGAAGATAATAAGGGTAAACTAATAAAAACAATTAAGGCATCAAATGAAAGGATGCTACCAAAATATACTATAATATAATATAATACAATAATATAATGCAATATAATAGAATACAATATCACATAATATACAATATAATATAATATAAAGTAATCCCACAGTTAAGGGCCTGAGGGATCAGATATACTTAACTGAGGGAGCAGCAAAGAAAGAGGAACAGGATTGGTTGACAGAGCCTATTATGCTGGAGAAGTGGATCCTGATTGGCTGTTCCTGTTACTGGGAAGAATACACCTGAGACTGTTAATGTTATCATTGGTTATGTTTATAAAGTTTTTTCTTTGCTGCTGTCAGGGTACCTGTTGGTGCTGAATCCAGGGAAGACATCCTCTCTGTTTAGGGGCTCCCTGCCCCTAGCATTTCGGCATATTTCGGCCGTTTTCGCGCCGGCCGCGCTAGCTCCTCCCCCTTTTATGACGCGACGGCTAGCGTCGACGTCATGACGTCGGCATTTACGTGAAGTGCCGGGAACCGCTATTCCGGACCTTTTGGGGGCGTGGTCTCAATTTAGGTAACAGGGTATTTAAAGGAAACCTTTACTACTGCTCATTGCCCTGTCGTGGTTCTAGCTTGCTAGTCACTCAGCGCGTTCTTTCTCTTAGTGTTTCCGGTTTTGACCCTTGCTTGTCTTTTGTCCTGTTGTCCTCTCCTCTCCTTTGACTCGGCTTGTATCTCGCTTACCTGTCCTCCGGCTCCCTCGACCTCGGCTTACCTTTTGACTATTCTTGTTTTGTCCCTACGTTAGTCCGGCCATTCTAAGGTCCGGTATACGTACCTCCTTCTGTCCGCACTCTGCGTATTGGATCCCTGTCAGTATCCTGACATTACGACAGGGCCAAATGGATCCTGCAGGTGCTAGTCCTCCTGACCCCAGATTTGAGGCCATGGACCATAGAATGGACCAAATGGCTTTAGCATTACAAACTTTGTTAACACGTTCCAACACCCAGTCTGAAGAAATACGTTCCACTGCTAGCCACCCACTAAGTACTGGTTTGGAAGTAGCCACTGTAGGCGCATCTTCCCATGTCACTTCACCGTTACGTTATGGGGGTTCGCCTGATGCTTGTCGTGGTTTTTTAAACCAGATAAGCATACATTTCAAAATTCAACCCCGGGCTTACCCTACTGACAGGGCTAAAGTAGGCTTCATTATAACTCTGCTAATCGATAAAGCACTTAGATGGGCCAATCCCCTTTGGGAGAATGACAATCCTTTAGTCTACAACTACACTGCTTTTGTCACGGCTTTTAGAAGAATTTTTGACCCCCCAGGAAGGAAGATTAATGCGGCCAGATCCCTGTTACGCCTTAAACAACAGAATAGGACCCTTGTAGAATATGCACTAGAGTTTAGATCATTGGCAGCAGAAGTGAAATGGAACGAACAAGCTTTTATGGATGTATTCTTGAATGGGTTGTCTGATGAAATTCTAGATGAGATTGCCACAAGAGAACTTCCGGAAAATTTAGAGGATTTAGTATCCTTCATTTCCAGAATAGATGAACGCATGAGACAGAGGCAGAACACAAACTTTCGCTAATAAGCATTGTATCCCATTCCAACTGAGAGATACACCCTTGGCCGTTGAGGCCATAGATGGTAGACCTTTATCTGAACCAGTAATATTCCATGAGACCAAACCCGTTAAGCTTACTGTTGGTATTTTCCACGAGGAGTTGATTTCCCTTCTGTTAATTTCCTCCCCGGCAGTCCCAGTGGTGCTAGGATATTCTTGGCTCAAGAGACACAACCCTCAGATTGACTGGGAGGGTGGAGAAATCGTTTCTTGGGGTATGGGTTGTAGGAAAGAATGTCTGCAGAGAGTTACTTCTGTTTGCCCCGTAAACTCTTATACTAACTCTTCCCAATCCACAGACGTTCAGATACCATTACAATATCTAGACCTCAAATCTGTATTTGACAAGGGTAAGGCGGATACTTTACCTCCCCACCGGTCTTATGACTGTTCTATTAAACTTTTCCCTGGTACTATGCCTCCCAGGAGTACGGTATACCCTTTATCCACCAAGGAAAATTTAGTTTTAGAAGAATACATCAAGGAGAATTTAGACAAAGGATTTATTAGAAAGTCTTCTTCTCCGGCGGGGGCGGGTTTCTTTTTTGTAGAAAAGAAAGACGGTACCTTACGTCCTTGTATAGACTATCGGGGATTGAACAAAATTACTATCAGGAATGCTTACCCTATTCCTTTGATTACTGAACTCTTTGACAGACTAAAGGGCTCGAGTATTTTTACCAAACTTGACTTGAGAGGAGCATATAACTTAGTGCGAATTAAACAAGGAGATGAATGGATGACAGCATTTAATACCCGTTACGGGCATTATGAGTATACCGTAATGCCGTTTGGGCTTTGTAACGCCCCGGCCGTCTTCCAAGACTTGATCAATGAAGTTCTTAGAGAATTCCAACATGAATGTGTGATTGTATATTTGGATGATATACTAATACATTCTAGAGACATTAATTCACATCATAGACAAGTCAGAAAGGTATTACAGAAACTTTTACAACATGGATTGTATTGTAAATTGGAAAAATGTAGCTTTGACCAGTCTCAGGTAACTTTCTTAGGTTACGTAATTTCCAAAGACGGGTTTATGATGGACCCGACCAAACTAAAATCGATTTTAGATTGGCCTTTACCTAAGGGACTCAAAGCCATACAAAGATTTCTTGGATTTTCTAATTATTACAGACGTTTTATTAAAGGGTACTCCTCTGTTATCGCTCCTATCACTAATATGACCAAACAAGGAGCCGATACCAAAACCTGGTCTACTGAGGCTTTATCTGCTTTCGAAACGCTCAAACAGTCTTTTGCCTCAGCACCTGTATTAGTTCATCCTGATACCTCTCTACCCTTTTTACTTGAAGTTGATGCGTCAGAAACAGGGATAGGCGCAGTGTTGTCCCAAAGACAAAGTTTAGATAAGCCGCTGCACCCTTGCGTTTTTTTTTTCCAAGAAACTATCACACACTGAAAGGAGATATGACATTGGTGATAGAGAACTTTTAGCTATCATTATGGCATTAAAGGAATGGAGACATCTGTTAGAGGGCACTGTCCTCCCAGTTACTATCTTGACTGATCACAAAAATTTATCTTATATGGGGGAGGCCAAAAGATTATCTGCCAGGCAGGCACGTTGGTCTATGTTCCTTACACACTTTAATTATATGCTTACTTACAGGCCTGGTTCTAAGAACACTAAGGCAGACGCTTTGTCTCGTCAGCACGAACCTATCGCCTCTACAGAAGACACTTTGTTCCCTATTATTCCTGAAATCAATATTATCGCCAACACCAATGTCAAAATACACTCTCCATTGCTCGTAGATATTATGAACGAACAATCTCTTGCTCCCGAGCGTACTCCTGTGGGCCGCTTGTTCGTGTCTCCAAAATTCCAAGTAGACATTATTCGCTGTTTTCACGATAGCAAGTTCGCTGGTCACCCCGGCATCCACAAAACTTACTGCCTGATCTCCAAAGACTTCTGGTGGCCTGGTTTACGTAGGGATGTGGAAGACTTTGTCAAGGCTTGCAATGTTTGTGTCAGGAATAAACTTCCACGGGATCTCCCTTGTGGTTTATTGCAGCCCTTAGTCGTTCCCAACAAACCTTGGGCTTGTTTGGCTATGGATTTTATTGTTGATCTACCGGCTTCCAGTAGGCATACGGTTATCCTCACGGTCCTTGACAGGTTTACTAAAATGGCTCATTTCATTCCCTTGCCTAAACTTCCGTCCTCTCCTGAACTGGCCGTGATATTTGCTAGAGAAATTTTCCGTTTGCATGGTATTCCCAATGAGATTGTGTTGGACAGGGGTTCCCAGTTTATTTCCCGTTTTTGGAGATCCTTCTGTTCCCAGTTGGGCATCAAACTGAATTTTTCTTCGGCCTATCATCCTCAATCTAACGGAGCAGCCGAACGCACTAACCAAAAAATTGAGCAATATCTACGTTGTTTTGTTTCTGAACACCAGGATGACTGGGTCGGTCTGATTCCTTGGGCGGAGTTTGCTCACAACAACCTTGTTTGTGGTTCCACTCGTAATAGCCCCTTTTTCTTGAACTATGGCTTTAACCCTACTGTTCTTCCGTCGGTGTCTCCTTCCCAGGGTATACCGTCGGTTGATATTCATATAGCCAACCTGAGAAAGTTGTGGGATCAGACTCGACAAATTCTTACACGTAGTTCCGCGGTGTTTAAGTCGCATGCTGATAGGCGTAGACGGCCTGCTCCTATTTTTTCTCCGGGTGATAGGGTCTGGTTGAGTACCAGACACATTCGCCTGAAAGTCCCTTCCTTGAAGTTTGCTCCTCGTTACATAGGCCCTTACAGGGTGCTGAGGAGGATCAACCCGGTTTCTTATTTGCTGGACCTGCCCCCTACTCTACGCATCCCTAACTCTTTTCATGTGTCTTTATTGAAACCTCTTGTTTGTAACAGATTTTCCTCCCGCTCTGCTCCTCCATCCTCGGTCCGTGTGGATGGTCAGGAGGAATATATCATCAAGTCCATCCTTGATTCTCGTATTTCTAGGGGGAAGTTGCAATACCTCATAGACTGGAAAGGTTATGGTCCAGAAGAGAGGTCTTGGGTTCCTGGTATAGACGTGCATGCTCCTCGTCTTCTTCGGGCCTTCCACGTTCGTTTTCCTTCTAAGCCCGGTCCCATCCGCCCGGTGGGCGTTTCTAGAAGGGGGGGTACTGTCAGGGTACCTGTTGGTGCTGAATCCAGGGAAGACATCCTCTCTGTTTAGGGGCTCCCTGCCCCTAGCATTTCGGCATATTCCGGCCGTTTTCGCGCCGGCCGCGCTAGCTCCTCCCCCTTTTATGACGCGACGGCTAGCGTCGACGTCATGACGTCGGCATTTACGTGAAGTGCCGGGAACCGCTATTCCGGACCTTTTGGGGGCGTGGTCTCAATTTAGGTAACAGGGTATTTAAAGGAAACCTTTACTACTGCTCATTGCCCTGTCGTGGTTCTAGCTTGCTAGTCACTCAGCGCGTTCTTTCTCTTAGTGTTTCCGGTTTTGACCCTTGCTTGTCTTTTGTCCTGTTGTCCTCTCCTCTCCTTTGACTTGGCTTGTATCTCGCTTACCTGTCCTCCGGCTCACTCGACCTCGGCTTACCTTTTGACTATTCTTGTTTTGTCCCTACGTTAGTCCGGCCATTCTAAGGTCCGGTATACGTACCTCCTTCTGTCCGCACTCTGCGTATTGGATCCCTGTCAGTATCCTGACAGCTGCTGAGGGAAATAAAAAAAGAGTGCAGCATAATAGGAGCCTCCGTGTCTTAATAAAATCGTTCTTTTGGCTGTTTCTCCATAAGCCTTTAGAGGTATATTTTTGCACAAATGTATTTCCATCCAGCAGAAATGCCAATGTCTTACACTGAGAAAAGGGACAACACCACTGCACCAAATACAAAAAGTGGTATACAATGTATAACCTATGTCTTAGGCGCAAAAGAAAAACTATTACAGAATAGTGTAATCACACCACTTAAAGGACCACTCTAGGCACCCAGACCACTTCAGCTTAATGAAGTGGTCTGGGTGCCAGGTCCATCTAGGATTAACCCTGCCTGAAACTGCTATGTTTACCTATGGGTTAATCCAGCCTCTAGTGGCTGTCTCATTGACAGCCACTAGAGGCGCTTCCACGCTTCTCACCGTGATTTTCACAGTGAGAAGACACCAGCGTCCATAGGAAAGCATATGGACTGGCTGAATGCGCGCGTGGCTCTTACCGCGCATGCGCATTCAGCCGATGAAGACCGAAGGAGGAGGAGAGACCACAGCACCGAGGGAGCACAGCACTGGATAAAGGTAAGATTTTAACCCCTTCCTCTCCATCCAGTCCGGCGGGAGTGGGACCCTGAGGGTGGGGGCACCCTCAGGGCACTATAGTGCCATGAAAAAGAGTTTGTTTTCCTGGCACTATAATGGTCCTTTAATAGTGAAAAGGTGTTTATAATAATACATCTGTTACCTGGAGCAAGTATAATGATAAGCTGATGTCCCGTTGCAGATACTCTGTATTATGGTAACAGTAGTCAATGGAAAAAGGAAAAACTTATAGTGTAATATTTATTGTAATACAATATGTGCAGACATAAAAAAAACACAATGTAAAATGGCACAAAAAGAATATTTTGTGCAAAAGAACCTCGCCCCTCATGGGGCCACTTATCTCCAAAGGGATGTCCTCTCGGATGTATAGTAAGTCCTGTGGAATTCTGAGGGTCCTAAGACATCAAAATATGTCCTTCTTGTAAGTCACAAATCCGGAATGAAGAATGGAGGGAAGCACTACTTTGTACAGGCTGGTCCGAGAGTTCAATGCAGTAGATACTCGCTCGACGCGTTTCGTCTCTGGAATAGACTTTTTTCAAGAGCTGTCTTCTGTCAGGCTCTGTTTCGTTTAAATATCCTGATATCGGTATAGCCGCCCACTTTTGTGGATGTCATCTATGCGTCGGACGCAACCGCGTGTACTTGGAGGCACACGCACCCGACGTCGCGAGAGGGAAGACGTCCACACATCTCTCTACACTTGGCCTCCGTGCGCGCGCGCCCCCAAAGTCCGCGGTCACGTCCGTTTATATAATTAAACTTTATTCAGATATGGCATATGAAACTTAACATAATAGATACATACACTCTCGAGGACATGAGGCACTCCCAAATTCCAACAAATATAAAAAAAATTTATCAGATCCATAAAAAATAATAATATATAGTTATATGGACACAATATAGATAAAAAAAATTATAAAAGATAAACGGTTATAATTTGGATTTGGAGGGCTCGTTTAGCCGAAAGTGTAATGTGCCACATATATACAATACAGCAAAATTACATATTTCAACTAAATAACATATTATTTCCAAAACATTTACAAACTCTTATTATTGTATACAACATATATTATTATCTGTTGGGAAACAGGTTAGACAAAGATGAATAGAACAAATGTAAGAGTTTATATGAACATCTTAAGCTCAAAAAAGTTTAAGACTATAAAACATATATATATTAATATATAATATGTTTCGAGACCTAAATTTTAAGGAGAGAATGGAGAAGAGAGTTAGAGTTATTTGGTAGAAAACAAATATATTAATCAAACCAACTTACAGATATGTACAGAGGGATAAATATAAAAATATATATGAATAAAATGTAAAAAATTGATTTATTAAAAAATAAATAAAAAGATACAAACGAATGAATAAATACATTTGTGAAAGACATGTATGGAAAAATTATTTCTTAAGAAACTACATATAAAAGATGAATAGAATTATTGCATAAAAGCTAAATGTCAATCTCGTTATTTAACCCATTAGGACTTAATTTTTTCCGTTTAAAAATCCATTCTGTTTCTCTTTTGGTTAATGCCAGCGCTATATCTCCTCCTCTCCAGTGTGGCTCCACCACATCTATACCAATACACATAAATGTCTGAAAGTTAAAATCGTTACAATTTTGGCAATGACTGGGGACACTGTGTTTGAGGCTATTAGTTCTGATGTTATAAAAATTGTCTAGTAGTCTTTCGTGAATTGTTCTTGCGGTTCTCCCGATGTATTGCATCCCACACTTACATTGTAATAGATCAATAAAAAAAATGTTTTTACAGTTTATAAAATGCTTAGTAGTAAAAATTTATTTTGTTATAAAGCGTTCAAATTTTTCTGTATTTCTCTTTTTGGTATTTGCAAGTGGAACAGTTTCCACATCTAAAAAACACTTTAGGCTTTTCAAATATGTTGTTAAAAGGGTTTTCTGGTTGTTTTTATTTTTTTTAATCCTGTGTAAAGAGCTGGGGGCTAGTTGTTTTTTTAAAAAATATTAGCTCTTTTAAACACGGTAATGGGTTTCTATGGGAGAATTTTGCCTAAAATTTGGTCTTGTAGTATAATAGGCCAATGTTTATTCATTATTTTCTTAAGTTTAAATGCTTGATTATTTCACTGGGTGAGTAGGGAAAATTGAAATTCCCCTGTGTCACTTTTTGTCTTTTCTTTCTATTTTTGAGACCTCTTCTTTGGCTTTATTTAACAATTCTTTTGGATACATTTTCTTTATAAATTTCTCCTCTAATCTCTGAATTTGCTGTTGACAATCTTAATTTTTTTGAACAATTACGTTTAATCCTCGTGAATTGGTTCGATGGGATATTTTTTAGCCACTTATGATAGTGGCAACTTGTAAAATCAATAAAACTGTTTCAATCTCCTTTCCACTCCAAACCCTACCACTACTAGAGTGTATGCAGACTCTGGAACCTTTACATATATTCCTTTATCCTCACTCACTAGTATCACCAATTTTTGTTTTATGTTTCCTCACAATCCCCTTTTCTCCCTCTATATACGCCCTCAGTACCTATAGGTGGCCTTTTGGGCATGTCTAATTTTGGACACCCACGAGAATCACATTAGATCAAGAGAGGCAGTCTATTTAGGAACGTCTTTTGTATAATACTAATAAAGTATCTTCAGGATTTTTATTAAAGGGACAGAATCTCTTTCTTTTGTGTTTCAATCTGTAGTTTTAAAAAAGGTCTTACTTTCTATTTTGAAATCTTCAATAAAAATATATATATATCTAAAAAATCAAGTGTTTTTATTAAAAATTGATATGAATTTTAAACCTCCATGATTGGAGTTAATAAGTTCTATAAAATCTTGTAAAGTTTCCTCCTTACCTTTACAGATCATGAGGACATTGTCTATGTACCTCCTCCAGAGCATGAGATTTTCGGAGCAGATTTTATTGCTCAAGATGTTTTTTTCCTCCCAGTTTGCCACAAAAATGTTGGCATAACTGGGTTCAAATCTCGTGCCCATAGTTGTTGCTTTTAATTAGAGGAAGTTCTTACCTTTGAACCAGAAATAGTTGTGTGTCAAAATGAAATTGATACAGTCAAAAATATAATTGGACTGTAAAGGATCCATATCTGGATCCAAGAATAATATTTCTTGGACAGCTTTGGTCCCCAATGTATGGTCAATCACTGTGTACAGTAAACTGACATCCATTGTGACCCACAAGTATTTCTAGTTCCAAGAGGCGCTAGAACGTTCCCTCATGATCTGGGAGGAATCTCCAAGATATGGTTTTGCTTTTTTTTGTAAAAATGTATCCACATACAATAGATTACACGTAAGAGAATCAGTTCCAGTGACTTTTGGATGTCCTGTTTTTTATTTTTTTTTATATATCCTTGTGGATATTGGGCAGAGAATAATAATCTGAGCGTTTAGGGAAATCTATAAATAAATATTTAAATTCGGCTTTGGTTAAAACTTCTTTGTTTATGCCTTCCTCTAATAATAATAATCTTTTTTTTTTTTTTGGTCATTGTTTATTTTATTTTGTAAAGTTGACAGTGAATTAACAGTAAATAAACATAACTGCGGTGAAAACAGGTCAGATAGAAAGGTAGATAGATGCTCCCAGGGACCTAGCTCCCGCTTCCCCCAGCACTGCCTATTATTGTAGTAGGGGTAGGGCGCGTATCTGCTACTCTACGTCCTCGCCCGATCTGAGCCCCTAGAGCCATCTAGTGGTGACGTGGCCTGTCAACCTCCCCCGGCCCGGGAATAACATCTACCATGTGCAGCCCAATGAAATTTGTCATAAGGTGTAGCTTCATGCCTGAGGGGTATGCGGGTGGGTGTCAGCGCTCTGGCTTAATTAGGTCGTGTGTAGACAAGGTGGGTGCCTTGATTCCTATTCCATGCTGGTAACCCACTCCCCTCGACCCCCACTCCCCCCCGCCATGATCCAGGTTGATGAGTCGTCAGGTAGACGATGAGCGAGTTGCGGAAGCGGAGGTCTTAGCTTGCAGTGTATCCCTAGTGCCCCCGTCTCAATTTGACAGGCTGTTATATTCCCCCGCCATGGAGTCAATTTGTGGTTCCTCTCCGTTCAATTCGGATGCCAGCATGTGAACACTCCCGACTACAACCCTAGTTGCCCCATTCTAGGCCTGTTGCGGGCCCGCGCCGTCAGAGTCAGGTAGGTTTGGTCACGTCTTG